CACACACACACACACACACACACACACACGCCCGGTGTGAGTTTAAGCCACCGGGTCTGGGACTTGAACTGTGGCCGACTACATAGGAGTTCAGCAACGTAGCCATTATGCCATCTGCTGGTTCCTAAAGAACAGTTTTTTTTCCTAGTTGAAGTATGTTAGACAGAAATGACACATTAATCAATTTTAAAAAGTAGATGTGGGACCGGCAGGTAGTGTGGTTAAGGTGCTGGACTCCCACATGGCCAACCACACTTTGAGTCCTGGACCTGGCTGTAAGGGGCTGCGAGCCCGGGGCATGCTGCCACTTGTTGAATTAACTTTCCATGATTGCTTTTCTTACTTTCCCTTTCTCTCTCTTTCTGGTCAAATGGAAGAAAATGATAATAATAATAATAATAATAATAATAATAAAAACTAAACAAAATAATTCTTTAAAATAGGCAAAAACAAAGTAGATGCACTGAGATCTTTCTAGTTATAGAGACATTTACTCGTATGCACTTACGTGTACAGAAAATAGGAATATGAGGAGCCTCTAATCTCAGAGAGAACACATTTTTACTGGTAGGTGAACCAAGAAAACAGGTATTTTTCACTGATTCATTGGAAACATTTAAAATATTTTTTTAATAAAGCAAATTAAAATTTTTTTTATATAAACCCTTACAGCAGTATTTCTGAAGGAAAGTGGACTTTCACATGCTTTTAAGTGGTTTGTTTTAAGTGGTCATAAATTAAATGTGGCAAAAACTGAGGAACTTTCACACATGTTATTTGATTCTTTGAGTCTTTGTGAAATGGGTTCCTTCCCATTTTCAGTTTCCAGGAAACCCAGTCTGAGATAGGTGAAGTCACTTGTCTGGGAGAGCCCAGCTGGTGAGCAGGCCAAGTGGAGTCTGAAGCTGGGTCTTCTGCCTTGCCAGTCAGAGCTCACTTTGTGCCCTTTATCTCAAAATGGAATTACTTGGTGTGGTCTTCTTCCATGTGGTGATGTGCTACAGTCTGTACTCACTGGTAGGAGGGAACAATGAAGATCTCCTTTTAAGAGTGGCATTTTGGGCTGACGCAGTGTGTAGTGATTAAGTGAGCTATTAGGTCATTGGGAAGCCATGATGTAGCTGTTTTCCTTTTTTTTGGAGAGATTTTTGCTCTAGGGTGTGTGCGCCCACCAGAAAGACAGAGAGAGACAGACAGAAAGCGAGAAATCATCCCCCAAGAGGGGATGACCATGCTGCAATCCCTTCTTTTCCATTCTTCTCTTGGGATCCTGGACATGCACGCACACACGCCTGGTGTGAGTTTAAGCCACCAGGTCTAGGACTCAATCCGCGGTCTACTACATGGGAGTTTAGTGACATAGCCATTACGCTAACTGCTGGTCCTAAGCTTTCTGTTTTTTTTTTTTTTTTGCTAAAATGTGTCATGACTTTCCCAACCACCCAATAGATTCCACATTGCTGACTCTGTGTGTGTGTGTGTGTGTGTGTGTGTGTGTGTGTGTATGTGTGTACCCAAAATCTCAACAGGATGGAGAAATGGAGAAGAGATTGAGGCATGGCCATGCCCCACTGGGGGGTACTTTCTTCCTCTCCCATGCACTCTTGTTTTGTCTCTCTCTAGTGAGTACATGCATACTGTGGCCAAAAAAAGCGTGTGGAGAGGTAGTTCTTCTTTGGATTGTAAAGGTAATACTTTAAACATGGTTTCTGTGCACTTGAAAAAAAATGACTTTATTTTTATTTTTGGACACACACATGTACTTGGTGTGATTTTCTTTTTTTAAAAATTAGTTTTATTGAAGTTCAGTATTTATTTATTTATTTATTTATTTATTTACTTTAATTTGACCAGCGAGAGAGATAAAGCAAGCCACCAGGTCCGGGACTTGAACCACAGTCAGCCATGTGGGAGTCCAGTGCTCTTAACCACTGTGCCACCTGCTGGCCTCAAGTTAGTCTTTTATTTAAAGAATTATTTTATTGAATTTTATTATTTACTTATTTATTTAAATTTGACCAGATAGGGACAGAGAGAAAGGGAGTAATGAGAAAGCAAGCTGCCAGCTCTGGGACTCAAACCATGGTTGGCCATGTGAGAGTCCAGCGCCCTGAACCACCATGCCACCTGCCGGCCCCTCGGTGTGATTTTTCAAGCTGTCAGTCCCAGGACTCAAACTGTGGTTGGCTCTGTGGGAATTCAGCACCTTAACCACAATGCCACCTGCTAGCCCCCAGATGACTATCCAGTGAGCACACGTGCCCTATAGCAAAAACCTCTCAAAAAAAAAAAAAGAAAGCACTCTCTGGGGAGATGGTCATGCTACAATCCCTTCTCCATTTTCCTCTTGGGATTTTAGGCACATATGCACATGCACCTGGTGTGTTTTCTTTCCTTTTTTTTTTTTTTGGAGCGGTTTTTGCCATAGGGCGCCTGTGCTTGCCAGACAGATAGACAGAGAGACAGAGAGACAGAAAGCGAGAAATCACCCCCCAGGGGGTTTGGCCACGCTGCAATCCCTTCTCCTCCATTCTCCTCTTGGGATCTTGGGCACGCGCACACACGCGCCCGGTGTGAGTTTTAAGCCACCGGGTCCAGGACTCGAACCATGGTCGACTACGTGGGAGTCCAGTGACATAGCCATTACGCTAACTGCTGGTCCCCCTGGCGTGTTTTCTAAGCCACTGGGTCTGTGACTTGATCTGCGTAGTTGGCCATTCGACATCCAGATGCTTTACCACCACACCACCTAGCTGACCTAGTTTATTTACCTACTGAAGGACATTGTTTGGCAATGATAAAGCTACTATAAACATCTTTGAGCAGATTTTTGTGTGGACATAACTTTTAAATTGCTTTGTATAAATACCAAAGTGCACACTCTCTAGGTTTTATGGTAAGATTATGTTTAATTTTGTAAGAAACTGTCAAATTATTTCCAAAGTGGTTGTACCATTTTGCATTTTCAAAGCAAGGTTACTTCACATCCTTGTCAACATTTGGTGTCATCAGTATTCTGGATTTTGGCCAGTTTATTTATTTATTTTATTTTGTTATTTACTTATTTTTTTTTAGAGAGATTTTTGCCATAGGGGGTGTGCATTCGCTGGAGAGACAGAGAGAAAGACAGACAGAAAGTGAGAAATCACCTCCTAGGGGGAATGGCCATGCCACAATCCCTTCTCCTCCATTCTCCTCTTGGGATTTTGGGCATGCATGCACACACAAGTGCCCGGTGTGGGATTTAAGTTGCTGGATCTGGGACTCGAACCATGGTCGACTATGTGGGAACCCAATGATGTAACCATTAGATCATCTGCTGGTTCCCAGGAATTTGGCCATTTTAATATATGTACAATGGCACTGTGTTTTTGTTTGCTTGTTTGGGAAATTTTTGATATTGAGTGTGTGTGCCAGAGAGACAGAGAGAGACAGAAAGCAAGAAATCACCCCATCCCCTGGGGGGAGATGGCCACACCGCAGTCCCTTTTCCTCCATTCTCTTCTTGGGATCTTGGGCACGTACGCCCATGCGCCCGGCGTGAGTTTAAGCCACCGGGTCTGGGACTTGAACTGCAGTTCAAGTGTGAGTCCAGTGATATAACCATTATGCCATCTGCTAGCCCCCCCTG